AGTGGCATGAAAATAAAATTTACAAGCTCTTTGATCCATATATTTTTCAACAGGGTTGCCACTGATATTATTTTTATACTGAGAGTTTGAGTAAATAGATTTGAAATAAAAATTTTTAAATGTTAACAAGACGAAAAATATTTGGGCAGTTCATCGAAATGCGTAAATGCCTCGTAAACGTACTTAATTTTGTATGGAAAATCGAATTATTTTCGAGGTTTACACGGTTACGAGGCATTTGCGCGTTTCCATGAATACCCATATTGAAAAATTCCTTTATGGATGGTAATTGTTGTCACAAAATTTATTCAATATGGTCGAATCAATTAACTTTTTTTTTCAAAAATATGGCACAGTATGCCAGGAATGTTACAAAGGCAGGATTTGGTGGTGGGCTTTTCTGTTTATAAACTATCTAATATTCTACCTGTATTAAAAATACAAGCATCATCTACGTACCTAAATATTTCATACTTAACCTTCAGAAATTTACTATTGCATTTAATTGGAGGTTGATATTGAGTAGTTGTTAGCAGTGTGCGCCACCATTCCGCTAACATCAAAGAGCGGTCAACCCTTGGCAGGCAATGGCTAACCGCCGAGTGTATATCTGCCATAAAAACAGCTTCTCATTTAAATACAATCGCCGTTCGTAGTCGGCCTAAAACTGTAGGTAATTAATCTCATAAAAGGGTTTATTGACTGCCCAAGTTTTTAAGATACATTAAATATTTATGAAGCAATATGCAGTTCGAATTTCCCCCTCTCTGAACTGAATATTATTTCGGATTTTGGCGTAGTGCGTAGTTGAATAAAATTTAATTTTAATTACTCTGTAGCTAAATTTGTCAGTAATAACCTATTGTTCAGTTGACTAGAAAATAAATAAATACACATTTTTCCCTAAGCAGACGCTTACATTTGTTTACCTATTTCTGGTCAATATTGACCATAGCACGTTCGCATATACATACATACAGACATATATGTATGTTTCGAAATGTCCAGTGAAAAAAATGGTACTAAGTGACTGGTTTTTGCTGCATTCTCCACAATACCCTAAGGCAGCAACCAAAAGTTCTAAATGAGTTGTGCTGTGTAAAGCACGTACCGCAAGCTATGTACGTTTTATTATGTGCAAAACTACATTTTTTCAATTTTGCTGCAGTTATATTTTTCCAATTTTTTTTTTTTTTTGTAATCTTTTATTTTACGAGCATCTTATTTAATAACATTTTTTGTATATCTCACAGCTTATTCGCTTTTTAACATTTTGCTAAACAAGAGGTGATACATATGTACAGTACAACAAGCATACTTACATATAAATATGTGAGTAAGTAGCGAAGAGGCACATATATGTATGTATATATGTATGCAGGAGGACGCACGCCCCATTCCATAATCATTTGCTTGTGGCCATTTGACACGCTCTTTGGTGTAAGTGTCGATGCCACTCTTAGGTATGCACTTGACATTTTGCTGCTAGCAGCCCTTTAAGTGTATTTTGAAGAGGCTTTTAAGCGCGCATTGATGTTGCAACAACCAGCCAGCCATTAAACAATCGAGCCTGCTGTTGGATAGCCAAGCGACCGAGCAAAATAGTAGGTATGGCGCCTCTGTATAGCGACCAACGACGAATGTACCAATGCTGCCTTATTTTATATCTTGTAACAAACTGAAATGCCTCTTCGCAGAAGTAATATGTATGTATGTATGTATGTATGCCTGTGAAATGTGTTTGCCATTTGGCCAAATGACTGTTGAATGTCTTTCGAGCTGAGAGCGCCGGTCGTTCGCGTTGACGCGCTCGTCAAGTGTCACAAATGATATTTTAAGTATCAACTAAGTAAACTTGTGCTAATTTCATAGCTCTTGGTGTTTAGTGGCGCAATATGGCACTTATTTTTTATTTTTTATTTTTTTTTTGCTTGAGTGCAATGGGGTCGAATATTGAAGTGTGTGCATGTCATGGCGTATGAGTGATATTAATGCAGTTAGCTAATGACTGCACTTAAAATTTGTAGTTTGCTCTTTAGCGATACTTGAATGTATAGTAAACGGTAGGATGAAACCTTAGTAAGTATTTAGTTAGAGGTGTGGCCTACTAACCGGTGGGATCCAGGTGCGTTTTATATTCCGTCCTGCATCCAAAAAAAAGCTTTTTATTAATTGGTAGTCGCGCATCTAATACATTCTTAAAAAGAAGTTATTATGGGGACTGCGAGTGCAAGCTGCGAGTGCGTAGATATTAAATATGTCTGATAACAAAACATTGCAATATTTTATATTGTGCATTGATAAAATAAATTTTTCTTAAATCTTTACTTTACTTTACTCCTGAGGTGAGAGGTCAATAAAAAGAAAACATGAAAGGCTGTCTACTGTTCTGTTGCTGAAACTTTTAACTTTTCATTAGAGAAATTAAGAAGTTCAGCCGTTTCACGTTTTAAATACAAATTAATAAAATTCGCCAAATTTTTTAAATGTTGTCACTGTATAAATGGCATTTTTTCTTTCATACGAATATTGAGAAAAAATATATTCAAACTTTTTAATAAAACCATAAATTAAAAAGTGACCCGTTCAGTTCCCTGCGTCGTCAAGGGTTAAACATTTGTTCTTATCACATACCGATTATGTTTTTTTAATCATCTGCTTATTTAGCCGTAACTAGTTTCTGCCGAAAAAACAGGCATTTTGCCCATAGTGCACCGCTTGAAATCGACCAATTTTAATTTGGATGAATTTTGAATATTGTAATGAAAAAAGGTTTGCCAAAAAAAACGTTTTTTTCGAGTGTTCATAATTTCACAATTTACCAGATTTTGCGGGCTTATTTTTGGAATATCTCAGTAACAATTATAGTTACAACATCAAAGATGATCCACATCGCCTACATATCAATATATATAAACAAAATTCGAAACACACAAAAAAAAAAACAATTTTGAAATTAAAAAAAATCGTAAAGGCAAAAACTTATATTAATTCTTGGCGAATTTGTTTTTATACAATAACACCAACGCATCTTAAAATATCCAGAAATATTTAAGTTGCTTTGATTTTTTCCAAACTATACGGTTTTTCGAAGATGTTTTGGTTTTTTTCGAAACTATAAATCAAAAACGAATTTCAATTAAATTGAAATTAGTTATAACTTTATTTACAGCCAATTTCACGAAAGCAATTTATGTGAAAAATTATTTAATTTTTTGAATTTTATATGGAAATTAACAGAAAATAAAAAATCATTTTCCATTTAAATTTCTAGTGAAACCGGCTGTTAGAGTTAGCAAAAAAAACTCAAGTTTCGAAATTAATATCTTCAAAAAAAAAAAAAAACAACAAAAAACAGCTTTTTGAAAATTTCTGGATCTTATAATATCAGTTAGGGGTAGTGTATTAACAATGATGCTAACAATTTTTACAAGTTAACACTTTTACGATATTTCTAATTTAAAAATTATGTGAATTTCTTTATTTTTGGCTATCTTTCTTTTACTAGTAGGTTACGAAAGCTGAAAACTTTTAAACTTAATGCATGTACATTTATGTATTAGTGTTATTTGTGCTCGGTAAGAATATTTTTGTATTAAAAAAATTAAAAATTGTGAATTTTAAATTTTTGCATAACTTTCAGGAAAATGCTTTAATATTTTTCGTTAAATGACAAAATAAATGTTCTGAACAAAATTCATACAAGTCAAAATCTTCAATTGTAACCATTGGTCTATTTGACATGGATTTATTTATATATACATTTATGCTTATTTTGAACGTTTTGCTATTATGACCCGCTTCAATAACGTCTTCTGAAAATTGCCCTGCAGGTAATGTGAACGACTCAAAAATGTCTACTTCGTGAATAAGTTCATTGCGTACTCTACGATTCGTAAGCGTCTGTTATCAACTTGGCAAGGCAGTTAGTTTTAAACTGATAAACTTTGGTATAATTAGAATTTGATAAAGCACTTAGTATTTTTTTCTGATACCCGGCCAGTGTTGTCGAAAAACTTTCGTCCAGTTTTTTCATCATAACTGTAAAAGTTATTTGTACTATCAGATTTTCTGGAATTTTCGTCTTTGCCTTTTATTTATATAAATCCTCATCGCATTTTTTCTCTTCAGAACACTGGCTAGGTTGTTCATGTGATATTTTCTTGAGGATTCAGGAACTATACGGGACCTATTTTCATTTTGTACTCGAACATACCTGCAACCTACCCTTGGTTTTGTTTTTGAACGACCTACAATCCTGTAGGGTCTGCAGGAGTTTTTGACCCACCTACTGCGCAACACGAACTGCATTTCTCATCAAACTCAACAGGAGGGATTTATTTCGACTAACCGCCGTGTACACAGCGCACTGGGCCATGGGAATCTATGCTGTAAGACTAGAACTAGAACACAAGACGTCTTGTCTTAGCTGTAATTCACCAGATGCAAAAGAAACTGTGGAGCATCTGCTCGTAATTGCCCAGCACTACCCTGCTACTGCGGTTTAATAGACATAAGTGATATCAACCTACTGAAACTAATTGAGTTCATGAATACCACAAGCTGGATTTGAGAGAAATAACCGAATTTACTGGGTTCTTCTTGTGATTCGGAGGTCTTTAGCAGCCAGCTATCTGCTCCGATTTATTCGTAAATCGTTTAGATTTAAAACAGATTAAATGGGAATACTAAAACAGTGTAATGGATGCTTTTTCCTGACAAATAAGGCGGCACCACTTTTTTTTTGCTAAATTATCGTAAAATTACATTTTTTTTTAGTGTATCCAAGAGAGCGGACAACGACTGGGAGTCGGCTCACTTATTATACTATACAGCAGGTACATAGCTGTTAAAGGGAATGCTTACAAAATAGTAAATCTACTGTATTTCTATTTCTCTTTTTCCTGCTGGCTAGTAGCTCTTATCAGCCAAGAACGGATACATATAAAATCCGGTGCCAGTCGTGAGAACTTCGCATTGTAGTTATTAGCGTTTGAGCCATTACGATGAAGAACTTCTTACTCGCATTTCTGTTGGTCGGTTCGGCATGTGCTGCGCCTAAAACCTTAAGACCTGAGTCTCGAATCATTGGTGGTGAAGAGACCACTGCGTTGCAATTGACACCATATCTGGTTTCGCTTAGTGTGTCGTCCATTGCATATGGACATGTTTGCGCTGGTGCCATAATCGGCAGGGAATGGGTGCTGACAGCTGCACATTGTTTGAGCGAATTGAATAATTTAAATGGCGATGCAATCGGGCTACCAATTTACGCCGGCATACAGGATCGCTCCGATATAGAGAACGCACAAATTCGCAACATTGATTTTTACTTCAATCACAAGCAATTCAATGCAAGTGACGTAAGTTCTCCAGACATTGCGCTCCTACACGTCTCGCAGCCTTTCGAATTCAATAGCAATGTGTATTCAATTATTTTGCCATACCAAGGAGAAGCATACACTAATAAGACCTCCCATACATATGGTTGGGGTTTGACAGATGCTGATGCACAGGAGTACGAGAAAAAATTGCAGTTTTCTCAGAGCGAAGTGCTATCTGATAACGGGTGTCGTGAGGAATTACCAGTAGATACACCATTGGGAACCAATCAGATTTGCGCTAAGACATCGGCTTGCTTTGGAGATGGTGGCAGTCCATTGGTGTACGAAACCACGGGTGGAGCTGAGCTAGTCGGCATAACTTCATGGGGATACTTGCCATGTGGATACAATGGACGTCCAACAATTTACACTGAGGTCTCGCGCTATATTAGTTGGATTACAGAAGTTCAATGGGCATACTACATATTGCATTAATACATTTTTTTTGGGTTATTACAATTTAAATAAATAGTTTAAATAAAAGAAAAAAAAAATGTGCTTACATGCAAATAAACTTTAATCTCTCTAATCTCTCTAATAGAGATTAGTACCAGAGCTTCTAGACGCCATAAATTTTTAAAGCGGCCGGCAATTCGGTTTATGCCTACTCAAGATTATCTTATCTGAATCAAACTGTTTATATTTACGAGTAATTTATGACTACGGGAGCGACCAAATGGTTTTAAATTTTTTGGTCATGACAAGATATTTATTAGTTTACTGCAATGTCGGTAGCGATAGCTCACGCACTAGCAATTAAAATTTCGTACTACAGTTTTGGATAGTCCAAACTGAGTACAATGAACGTGACAATATTAACTGATTGAGATAAAGAATTTGTTTTAATTCTTCCTGTGTACACAAAATAAGAGTTTCTGAAAACAAACAACCTATCGATTTCGTATTTTAAGGGGACGTTGCTTTAAACATGTATGTATGTGTAGATTATCTGGCCAAAATATAGCGATTATTTTGTGAAGTCGCTTAACGAAAAATGTGATTTAATGAACGCGATTTTTGTACAGTGACGAAAATATAAATAGGGAAGAGACATGTTGGCATTCTTTGGCTATTTCCTTCTCGTTTAATATTTTCTATGAAAGCGCTGCTTGTTATCTAACAACCAAAAAAAAGGAAATTATCAAAATCCGAGAAAGTTTCATCGAAATTTTACAAACAATTAGAATATATAATACACATAAGAATTAGGGCAACTGAAAGTGTAAGAAAATGCATTGAAATTTTTCGATGACAATCGAAATATGTATGTATATCCAGTTATCAAAGTCGCCGAAGTTTATAGTTATCGAAATATATCGGATCATTCATGTTTATTATTAAGTTGCCGGAATGTATCGAGTTATTGAAATTGATCAATGTATATTGAGTTATCGAGATTTATCGTTACGCAGAGACTTAGTTGTCGAGTTGTACCGATAGTTATTAAGTTAATGAAATTTAATGTTATATGATATTCATATCTTCAATATACATAAATCGAGTGCTCAAAATCTTTTAGAGTTATCGAAGTTTATCGAGTTATTGAAATTTTTCGAATAGTCGTGATGTATCGAGCTCTTTAAAATGATCGAGTTATCGATATTTATTGATTTACCGAAATTTGTTGATAGTTAAAAAGCTGTAAATATATCGGGTTATCGAAATTTCTAGATTAACATGAATTTATCGATTTGTCACTATTTTGTCGACTTATCGAATTTGAAAGAGTTACCGGAGTGTATCGAGTTATCGATATATATCGAGAATTACCACTTTGTGAGTTATCGAAATTTAACCAGTCTTGGAAACGCAGAGTTATCTAAATTTATCGATAGTTATCAAAATTTGTAGAGTTATCGAGTTGTATGAATTTCGTGTTTTTGAAATTCATCAATATACTTATCGAATCGTCGAAATTTATCGACTAACTATGAAGCAAATGCAAAAACAAACTCTTTAGATTGTCAAGTTTTAACTGGAGTTTCAATTGGCTTCCCCGCATTTACTTGTCCTATTTTGGTGATCTTTTGTCATTTTCGTTACAGCGTACATAGTTTCCAATCATTACTGCTTTTTGTATGACCTGTATTTTCTTATGGATAATTATTGGCTACTGCCTGTTGACTTCGTTTCTTTGACAGATTGCAGTTCTAAAATTCTTTTGAGTAATTTTGTGCCTTAAACTAGAAAAACTATGTAGAATTAGAAAACTACTAACTGGCACTCCTATTTTAGTAAAACAAAGTGCAAATTTTAAGTATGTATCTGGGACTTTCCGTTGATTTTCGGCAATTTTTTTGTGAAGTGAATTGCAAACATGTTATACGAAATATTAAAATATGTTGTCAAACGGCTCGTCTCGCTGCGGTATTATAGACTGGACTGCTTCACAATGGCAGATCGCCATATACGCTGCTGCAAAAACTAGTAATTGAGATGCGAATTTACTGAAATTTGCTTAGGAATGAAGGAGTGCAAAAAATGCATAGATTGGCGAAATACCCCCATCCACTTCATAAGACTGTGTTTATACACGGAAACTTTTGTCGACGCGATTTTTCCCATTCCCTTTTGGTGTTGCTCGGTTCATTTACACATGGCGATTTTTGTGTATGCAATTGTTGTTGTCAGCTGTGAACCGCTAACTCAATTTCCTCGTCACGCTCTCTCCTACAAATGTCGAGTTGCGGCAACAAAAATCGCCATGTGTAAATGAGCACTTAAGGAGCACATATGGTAGAGGCAGATGTTATCCGAATTTAATACAATTTGGGTTTGTTATCATTAGTGGACGTCTTATTGGACCTATTTTGACAATCCTTCAGACTTAAGGTTTGCTTGTTAAAACTAAGTAACAACTGAATTTTACGAAAATCGAAAAACATTTATCATTTTCCCCCCCCCAAGTTTAGTTCGCGTAGTCTGTATATCTATACAATTTTGCAGATTTCTTCATTCTTCATCTTCTTGTGTGTGGCGATGCAAAATTCAGAGATCGCGACGTATAGGCAACTCCTTTTAGTGCTATCGAAAGCGGCTTTAAAGTCGACAAATACATAGGTGGTGCGTGTCGATCCTTTTCTCGCCGGTCTTTTCCAAGATTTGGCGTATTTTTGAATACCAGACCTATTGTGGATTTGCCTGGTCTCATTTTGTTGACGATATATCGCTTACCGCGATCGCGAATCTGATCAATCTTATTTGCAGCGTGCCTTACACAAAACGCTCGATAAAACCATGCAACCTATGCTTAGAAGGCTGATCCCGCGGTAGTTGGCGTGTATTGCGGTGTCGCCTTTCTTTTAGATTGGGCAGAGCACCCTTAAATTCCAGTCTTAAATTCTGAAATTGGTGAAAAAACCCTTGCCTTGTCATGTAAAAGTAGTTTTCATTAAGCCGAAAAAGGTCAGTTTTGCCCGAAATTTGACTTGTTTAGTTCTTAGATAAATTTAGAAATCAAATATTTACATTCATACAATGTGTGACAAATGCACTCAATTGACAATTTGTTTTGCCAGCCAATATGAAACTCTACATATGCCTTTGTATACACATACATACATACCAGCATACACAAATATGTGGAAGAATTTTGATTTTATAGCTTTAAGACGCACTACGCACAGCATACTAGTATTTCCACATTCTAATAGCCTTTATATTTATTCATCTTCCACTGCCACACTGCTGGAGTTAAGCTGTTGACGTTTGCTTTACGTGCCGTTGCAGTTGGCCTTTTGCCTGTCCCCAATGCTGTAAACAGCTTTATCTCGTTGCTAAAACTTACTTTTATATAAGAGGAATGTGTGTGTGGTTATATATTTGCCCTGCTGGCTTGTCTTTAAAGTCGTCAGTGCCCTTAACGACGTCATCTTCTCGTGACTTGCTGCTGCATCTTGTCACAGCTTTGCGTTTTCCCCTCCCCTTTTTCTAAGTTACCATCTATGTATGAGTATGTACCTCGTCGGTGTTTTCTGGCTTTGTTGCATTTGTTGTTGCCACATTTTATGTCGTTATAGTGTCAAGTTTCGTTTTACGATGACTTAAACGTGATTCAATTTGCAGAAGAAGTCATACATACATATAAGCTGAAGGGATTCGTTTTTTCGTGTTTTTTTTTTTTTTATTACTTTTGCTTTAATGCTTTATAATGCAAAAACAAAAGTGAAAATACAAAAATAAATGCTTAACCATTATCTTTAGGATGCTTGAATGTACATATGTATGTGCATACGAGTACGTGTGTGAATCTGTGATTAGGTTGAATTGTATGAAGGAGTTCAAATGCCCAAGTGTATTTATTGAGTGTCAAAAATTGGCCAGTTTCTTAAGTGATTTCATTGTTGGCCGATTTAAATACATAAATTTGCAATAGCAGAGATTTACACAGGGGATAGCTGCAGTTTTGAATATCTTTACATTATTCTCTTTTTAACAAATTTTCATGAACATGTTTGTAATCAAAAAAATGTCTTAGACTTCGCTTCTTAACCAAATCGTCTTATATTGAATTCGCGGCCAATCACAGCATAAATTTTGCATTATTGATTGATTGTGATTATGATAGGTTCCGGGAAATGTGGATTCTAATGACACTCTAGAGAAATGCGGCGCCCAAAGGAGCCTGATCGGCGCTCAGCCTTTCTGTGGTCCGTCCAAACGATACCCGACAGAACTCCCAAGAAGATGGGATAATTCGCAAATAGCCACCCAATGACGCACGACAAAGGGCAAAAGGCCATCCAAAAGACTCATCGTGGAATCTCTGAGCGTCAGCAAAATCTTAGCAGAGAGGTCCTCAGAACTCTCACCGGGTACCCGATAGCTCACTGTATTCTGAGGTACCATCGACACAATTTTGGATTCTCTGAGGAGACGAACTGCAGGTTTCTCAAGCTGCATACGGAAACCTTGGAATCTAACAAAGTTTTAAATGTGAATTTATATAGTGATTGTTGCATAACTAGCTAGATCTTTATAAAAGAAAATAGCAAGCACTAAATAAACCAAAAAATATAGCTAAAACAAAAAAAAATAGGTCGTGATGAATATACATAGGAGGGAGCTGGCCTATATGGCTGGTTTTCTCCGTACAAGATATTTAGCCGTTGACGTGGAAGTGCCGATTGCACCCATGAAAATCCGCTTATGTACATGATTGGTTCTGTTTTTGATCACAGCAACGAAAAACTGATTTTGCACCTGTACGGTTGTCGAACTCATCGATTCAATTTGCTTCTGCACAAAAACAAATGGAAAGATTTGAGATGTTTAATTCAATTTAGTCCCAATTTTTTCAATCTATAGTATTATTATTGTTATTACTAGGGCATTGATGGCTGCGACCTAATTAGGTTCAGTAAGTTCTATCACTGTTGTCAGCCGTGGCAGTGGACGTGCGCTCGATAGGAACTATGTAAGTTATAATGTCCTAA